TTTTTAATTTTTTTTTCAACGTTTATTTATTTTTGGGACAGAGAGAGAGCATGAACGGGCGAGGGGCAGAGAGAGAGGGAGACAGAATCGGAAACAGGCTCCAGGCTCTGAGCCATCAGCCCAGAACCCGACGCGGGGCTCGAACTCACGGACTGCAAGATCGTGATCTGGCTGAAGTCGGACGCTTAACCGACTGCGCCACCCAGGCGCCCCTAAATATACATTTAAAAAAATAACTAGTAAAAAAAATATTAAGGGAAAGAAACAGAAAAATAGTAACCACAAAAGTAGCTTTAGAATGATTAACCAAATTTTTACTACTTATTAAAGAAGAATTTTGCTGATTTTAATAGCTAACAAGAAATAAGTGATCAGGTGTCTTACCCTCTGAGGTCCCCAGAGGCTCCGTTCAGCTAAAGGGATAAGACCAGGAGTTGGAAATAACAGGAGTTCTGATTCACTGCAGACTTGAAGAACCCTCACCAAAGAGGCCAGGGAAAGCCTCCTGATGTTAAAGCAATATTTTCTTAAATCAGGCCACAGAAAAGTGAAAGTTTTCCCCCCAAAATAATAGCACTAGATAGATTTTTCCTGTCCAGAGTCATGGATCCAAAGGACCCCAGAAAAACCTCATTGCAGAGATGCCTAGAGTTTCAACGATAAAATTACATGCCACTAGACTCAGGCCGCCCAGCAACAGAACCAAATGTAGAATTCACCACATCCTCCTTGAGTCATGTTCAACCTGTTTTAGAATAGACTTTCCTCTTGGGGTTGGGCTGGGCTAACCCCAGAGGGATCTCCTTGAGATACTGGAAAAGGGTTTTAAAGAATGGTAATTTGTTTCCTTCCATTTTCTGTAAACTCATTCTACTTTTCCTGTGCAGGGTCAAGATCAAGTTATCTCAGCACAAACACACATTTTACCATCTAAGGGCACAGGGTAGGACAAGTCTCAAAGACAGGGTCATGAATTCTTCTATCCAACATTTTTTTTTTTTTTTAAAGTATGCAAGGTGGGGAGGGATGGAAGGGGGAGACAAGGAGAGAGGGAGGGGGAAAAGGAGAGGGAGAAAGAAGGAGAAAGAGGGAGAAAGAAGGAGAAGGAGAGAGGGAGAGAGAAAGAGAATCTCAAGCAGGCTCCACTCTCAGTGTGGAGCTTGATGCAGGGCTGGATCCCATGACCCTGGGATCATGACGTGAGTCATCTGCACAAAGGAAGGACTGAACAAATAAGAGATAAAGCATCCCTACTTTTCCAGCTCTTTTTAGACTTCTTTCCTTCATCACTCCTACAAGAAAATATAATTTAAATACGCAATTTTTAAAATTTTTTTAATGTTTTATTATTTATTTTTGAGAAAAAGAGAGACAGAGAACGCGAGGAGGAGAGGGACAGAGAAAGAGAGGGAGATGCAGAATCCAAAGTGAGTTCCAGGCTACAAGCTGTCAGCACAAAGTCCTATGCAGGGCTCGAACCCACAAACCATGAGATCATGACCTGAGCCAAAGTCAGACACTTAACTGAGGCACCCAGGTTCCCCAAAATAACTATGTTTTTAAATGAAAGCATAACTTTTATGTGTTAATTCGTTTGGAAAAAAAAAAAAAAAACAATGATTTTAAATTTTTTTTTTTTCAACGTTTATTTATTTTTGGGACAGAGAGAGACAGAGCATGAACGGGGGAGGGGCAGAGAGAGAGGGAGACACAGAATCGGAAACAGGCTCCAGGCTCTGAGCCATCAGCCCAGAGCCTGACGCGGGGCTCGAACTCACGGACCGCGAGATCGTGACCTGGCTGAAGTCGGACGCTTAACCGACTGCGCCACCCAGGCGCCCCAAAACAATGATTTTAAAAATAAAACTCTTAGGGGCGCCTGGGTGGCTCAGTCAGTTAAGCGTCCAACTTCGGCTCAGGTTATGATCTCACGGTTCGTGGGTTCAAGCCCACATCGGGCTCTGTGCTGACAGCTCAGAGCCTGGAGCCTGCCTCAGATTCTGTGTCTCCCTCTCTCTCTGCCCCTTACCCACTCACACTCTGTCTCTCTCTCAAAGAGGAATAAACATTAAAAAAAATTTAACTTTGATAAATGGCACTGAATTATGTATCTATAAACTTATGCATCTATAGGTATTACATATATATAGGGGTGCCTGGGTGGCTCAAGTCGGTTAAGGGTCCAACTTTGGCTTAGGTCATGATATGATCTTACGGTTTATGGGTTTGAGCCCCACGTTGGGCTGTGGGCTGACAGCCTGCTTCGGATTCTGTGTCTCCTCTCTCTCTGACCCTCTCCCACTTGTGCACTGTCTCTCTCACTCTCCCCCAAAAATAAATATTTAAAAAATATTATACACACACACATACATAATGAAAAAAAAACCTTCACTCTTGCTATAATGTTTTGGAGTAAAGGGAAGGGAATGTACAAGAAGTAACTAGAAAAGAATACTGGAAGCAAGAGAGTATATAGGGGAAAAGCCTGACAATCTGGCTCTCTAGAGCTTCCACATAACTGATCTGTTACATAAATACTTGAGTACACAGCTAATCTAAAACAAACACTGGATACCATCTTAATTCCGTCAATTAAAAGTCTCATTCTTTATTTCCCAGAAACTTTAAAATCCCCTGCCTCAGCAGGCTAAGTCTTCCTAGAAGACAATTAGCTTCACTACACTTCAAAGTCAAAAGCTGTTAGGTCTAAAGGTGGCTGGTTCTCTAACTTATGTCACTGGACATTGATAGCATACTGAAAATAAAACAGGCCAGTGCAAATCCACCACCCTCCAAAAACACAAACAAAAACCTAATTTTAAAGAAAATACACTACTCAATGGAAGGAAAAAGGAATCGTAGTTCATGTAAAAGCACAGCATTATTCATTCACCAATCTATTGTCAATTGTACCCATGTCCCTTACCACCCTCATCTTCATTAGATTTACATTGGGTGAACAAAACATTACTTCTTGATATTTCAGAAAACATTATTTCTTCAGGAAAAAAAAAGCGTCCCAGTGTTTTTTTTTGTTTGTTTGTTTTTTCAGAAACACAGATCACGTGGACAATACTGAAGATGGCATTATCAAATAAAACTGATTTTTATCTTTGTTTAGTCCATCAAGAAGATTTGGGATATATACAGATTGGTCATCTAGCACCTCAAAAAATGACAGTGCTGGATTCCTCATTAAAGAGATAAATAAACTAAAATTTGGAACAAGGAACCTCAGATAATTCAGTCAAAACAAATATTTATTAAGGACTTCCTATGTCCCAGGCACTATACTGGGAAAATGATAGGAACAAGATTTTGTGACAAGGAAGTCATGGATGACCCTTACATTCAATAGAGTGATAGGTACTGAAACCAGAAAGCAGTGGGATGAGTGTGAAATGGACTTAAACAACTATTTAAGAATTTTGCCTAGGATGGAAAAAGAAATTTGAATAGAGGAATGTGAAATCAAAGGAGCATGCTACTTTTTTATTGTTACTGTTTTTCTATTTTGCTTTAATTGTCATCTGTCTCTAGGCATGATGAAAGGCTGACAAGAATGAGCCTTTGGCCAATGAACAACTAAATAAAGTACTCCCAAAGGCAAGAGTGGATACAGAGGCCTGGGACATATGTCTTAGGATAAATGCAATCTCTTTTGGGGTAACTGGGGAAAGAGGAAAGGTTTTTTGGAAGAAAGAGCATGGGATTCTCCACTGATAGTTCTACTCGTTGTGAAGTAGGTGGCAAGAGTATCTGCTGGGAGTATAGATTATGTGAAAGGATGAGAGATTTGAGAAAAATGGAAAATGCTTAAAATAGATTCTACAGAGGGCAGAAGCAAACACTTACAAGGAAAACCCTAGAAAACTCTTTGATGGTCAGTTGAGATTGATGACCATGGATCCGTAGGAGTACAAATCTAGATGCTAGAATTTTCCCCTGTTGGTTTCAGCAACTCAGTTCAAGCATTAAAGAAGGTAAAGAATTGAGATGGTCCAGGGCGGAGAATTTGCCAGCCAGATGCTACAAACGGATAATAATACAATTGAGCATTCTGGTATGAGAGTGACCAAAGATCCGGTAAAAGTGCAGCTGTAATGGAGGTAACTGAGTGAGGGTGAGAAAGATAAGACACTAAGCAAAGAGTGGAAGATTTGAGCTTTGCATTTCAGAAGTGGACTAGTTTCAGGTATGGGCACTTTAGTCCTGCTTCCCCACTCCCAGGTACATCTCTGGCAATAGCCATATCCCTTTGCTTGGCTCCAGCTCTCAGGAGGCTGTAGTTTGTCCTTTTGTTCCCTCTACTTGTTGTCAGTTTCTCTTTGGGCCTCACTGTCCCTTGTTTGTTCCCTAACCCTGCCCACACCTCTGCAAGTAGTGCCTTTATCAAAATCTCCCTACTTGAACCATCTGGCATGAATTCTGATTCCTGCTGAGACCCTCATTTATCCAGATACACATCATGTCAATCACATGGGGATTTCATTAAACTAAAACCAAATATCCCTGACTTTCAGTCTTGTTTTGTCTTTCAGTAAAATTATAATACAACCAAAGTTAAAATCATATAATCTTCAATATCACATAACTTTTTAAGTGGAAAAGGCCTTTAAAAATTCAGGAAATTTGGGGCACCTGGGTGGCTCAGTCAGTTAAATGTCTGACCTCACAGCTCGTGCGTTCCAGCCCCACGTCAGGCTCTGTGCTGTGCCTGAAGCCTGCTGACACTGTCTCTCACTCTCTCTCTCTCTCTCTCTCAAAAATAAATAAACATTAAAAAATAAAAATTCATCAAATCTTACAGATGAAACTATGAGACAACCTTACAAGAGCAGCACAGCTAGCAAGCAGCAAAAGGAGAACTCATTCATCAATGCACCATTATTATTGAATGCTAACTTTGTGCCATGCACCACTCTAGGTGCCTGCTTGGATCCACCTTATGCAGCTTACATTCTAATTAACTAAACTCCAGGTTTCCCAAATCCCAGTGTCCACTGTTGTTTCCACTACCGGCACCAAGACTTATTTTAAGCAGGAAGTAGTAAGTAGAAGGAATTACTAAAATCAAAACCGAAAATTAAGCCTGGGATGCACCCCAGTCTTAAATGTTACCAATGGTATTAAAGTTAAAGAATATTGATGAAACTTTAGAGCAAGCCTAATACAATTTTCCTGGGGGAAAAAAAATGCATAGTAAGTCAGTTCCAAACCCCTCAGCTTTACCTTCAGAGCACTCCATAATCCAAAACATACTTACTTACCAGCCTGTGGGCCTTCTTCTGTGTGCCACCCAGACGTTCCAGTGCCTTCCCTATGAAGGGCCACATCCTCCCCATCAAGGTCTGACCTCCATGAAGTTTTCCCAATTACTCTAACCCCAACAGATCCCCTTCTCTGAATTCCTGCTATTCTTAC